TGTTTTCAATCTTAATTGTAATAATAATTTATTTTCTCTAGGTGGCCCCGGTTTCAGTAGCCGCACTGTAAATCAAAKATCTTTTCATGAGTCACAAATACTTATGAATCAATCGTATTTCTAAGTATTTATTATATTTTGTACAAACTTAAGRTATTGTTCATCACTATCTATGGGTATTTGGGCTAAACATATTGTACAAGACTCATGATACATTTTACACGGACTTGATCAATTATTTCAACAGAAAATAATCGCTTTTTAGTCGGGTCAAATAGTATTCACTATGTTTTGTGTGAATGACAATTAAATAAACAACTCATGCATTATTTATGAGTTCATAACTGGTAATGGTTTTTCGTGTTCCTTCATCCATTCCAGCTCCTTTAAAGTATTCTAAACTAATTATGGGTACCAATATATCTTGTTACTATTTCACAGTGTTATTACAATTGTGTTAATCTTGAATTTGATGAAATTATAATATCTACTAATTCAATATCTTTAGCTGGATCTAAAAATATATGGTACCAAGTTCTTACCTGAAGACATCAACAAAGGGAAGATTGACTTGGTGAGCAGCTTTGTTATTTGTTATGGAATGATTGGAATTTCTCAACCYTCAAGATTATTTTGCTTTATGATAAGAATGAAGTATTTTTATAAGATAACTAGAATGCATGCACTAAATTCCTGAGTAGCATTATAGCAAATAGATTGTATTTAGTGGCATAAGTCACTGACATCCAATCAGAACAGACTGAGAGATGGCAAGTACAAAGAAGTAAATGCCTKTTGAGCTTTGCTTCAGAACTGTTTTTTTTTACAGAAGTATATAGTGATCTGTTGTTAGGTATTTTAGTTTCAGTGTCAAATATTTACATTATTTTTACATGATAGCTGCATTAAATGTTGTTTATATTTGCCTACTATCTGTGACATTTAAATGTGTGTGACTTTTAACATTATATCTTTAGAGGTACATTTATAATATATCTTGGTAATGTATTTGATTACAATGATATTTTAATATCATTAAAATGATGTTTAATCAACAGATAAAGGGTCCAGGTGTRCTTCAAATCCAAAAACTSAGAAACATTTCAGCACCCAGGGCAAATGAAGAGTCTAGTCATGCTCCAAGATTGTTGAAGTTTCAACTCACAGATGGACCAATCAGCTGCCAGGGCTTGGAATATTCAACAATATCAGATCTCAGGTAATCATGATATACAAGAATTTTGATCACTGAAAATAATGCATTGTAAATATTAATGCAGAAAATAATCAAGGTTGAATTAAACATACAAGCTTTTTATAGTTAATGCAAGATATTCTATTTTAATATATAACTATCCATGAAATACCTATATTTCTCCATTTTGTAAAGTTTTTATTACATTCGAGGTGTCTCTATATGGTGGAAGTATCGCTATGTGAGATCTTTTCAAAACTCGAAGATAAAATCYGTATCCCCGYGCAACCATGTAATATCCTCTATTTATTCAGGYAATTGATTGCTTTATTGTTTTTCTTAGTTTATCTACACCTCCTGGCACCAAGATATGTCTTGTAGGMTCTGTACCTGTAAGAAATGGGATGCTACTATTGGATGATGAAAATACAAAGGTCATTGGCGGAGAGGTGGATAGTTTGGTTAATAAGTGGAAACTCAACAAGGTAAGATGTTGGAAGTTATCCTTGAGCAGTGTAGTAGAATGATAGAAAAAAAAACTAGCCAAAGCTGCTGAGTGTAGATCTTGTTTACTAAAATGACTCGGAGCTTAATATACAAGATCTACAGTCARCAGCTTCACTCAACAAGATAAGAAGGGAATGCTTTTTATAGTATTAAATTGACAGTTTTGATATAAATTATTAAAGAAAGTGGGCTTTTGTTTGATAACTTGCATGAAAGTGTACATGTTTAATATTTTAAACAGGAAGTCAATGCCAAGTCTCCCTGGCTGGTGGCACCTAATTAGGGCATATCTGACATACTCAACTTCTCTATATATTGAATATTTAAGCAAAAATCACTTATTGAGGTGGTTATATGCTCCTCATGACGGTTTATGGTWAATGASAACRATTATGCACAAAAAGGCTTTTAAATCATTTACCATACTCTAGACAATACAACAATRCAATACAAAACAATATTTGCATTTAAATCTCTATTTAAATGGTTAGTTTTAACTTAGCAAAGGAAGCCAGAATACCTGAAGAAACATTTTCAGAGCAAGGAAAAGAACGAGCCTAGAAATTCATGTTACATTACATAGCCCTGTGYTGACAGCAGTGATAGACTAGTGGTTTAAACACTTTTTGACCTGTAATAATTTAAAAACAATAATGCAATAACCTTGACTTGACTGCCATCCTTGCACCCCATGAGTAAGCTAAAGCTGGCTCATTCCTTATTGATCCTTGTACAGTCTGTTTTGTATKAGATAGTTTGACCTATGAGTGCATTGAAATTCTATCATAAAAATTATGTTTATTGCAGTCATTAGCTAAACATTCACGAAACACTGGCAATACTGAAGGTGGGCCACCTCCCTTTGTTCCATTCAATCAAGGAAAATCACGTGAAGAAAACAGAGGCAGGGGAAATAGTGGTAGGTCAATATTCGTAYTATTTGAGATTTTTTTCTTTTTTAGTTATTTTTTTATACCTTCCCCTCTTTCTTTAATGGCATCTTCCCGATATTTTATAGCTGTTTTCCCTCTTCATTCCTTCCATCCTTCCAGCTCTCTGTTTGTCTCTTTATTTGTTATTAATAAAGGTATAGTATACAAATGAGTTGAATAAAAAAGTAACAATGTTGATTATTGATAGATGATTTTAGTATTCATTTTGTTTAATTTAGTATCAGCTATCTTTTTTTTCCGTTTCGTTTCCTTTTTTTGTTCCCATCTTTTTTTTCTTCCATTTATTTATTCATCCAGTTCGTTGATTTTTCTTGTACTAATGCACAGGTTATGTACCAAATGGCCATGAAATTCACAGTGACTCGCAACGTAGACCAGATCGATATAGAGGACAAGAGAATGCACCCAGAAGAGGAGGACGAGATAGAGAGGAACAGGGRGACAAAGGKCGAACACAGCGGGGAGGGGATTCATTTAGAGGTCGCGGCAACCACGATAGACGAAACGATAACCGATCAAGTCATCGAGAAAATAGAGGAAATCGCGACTCCAGAGGTGGRAATAGGAACTATGAATCAAATGCACATATGAATACTGGTGATCGATACAGTCAAAGACGAACTGACCATAATAGATCAGACAGGAATGACAAACCATCAAAACCAAGTGATTCAGGCGGAGATAGTCCTCTTAGCCGCTCTCGAAGCGGGTCTGGAATCAGGGAGAATGGGACTAGTGACGTAACTACACGTGATGACGATTCTTCCATTCGATCACTGGATGGACAGGCAAGAGGTGTTCCAAGTGGGCGTGGCAGTGCACGTGGTGGACGAGGAGGTCGTCGGGAAGCATTRGGTGCGTATAATGCAGAACGTGAACTCTTCGTCTGTAAGAGAACACTTGATTGGTGCTTAGAAATAAGAGCGATTATCAATCATTATAGGTCGAGCAAGGTCAACTTCAGTAGATCAAGATGAATCAGACGAGTATAGAGCCCGGCAACCATCAGAGAAAGGCACTATTTGGGACTTCGTGAAACACTCCATTGCAAGTTAGTAAACAGASAATTGGAATTTCCTTTTAAAAAAGTGCTATTATTTTGTTTAATGTGTTTGATAGTAGCAGTCATTTTTGAAATACTGTAGTCTTTCATTGTCATAAGCTAGCGGCGAGTCTGTTAAGGTTTTGAAGCCAATTAGCATTATTGGTCGGTATTTAAGTTGTTTGGTATTTAATTTTATTCCAGCTCCTCCGAAACCCTGTACTCCTCCGGCGACAGAGAAAGAAACACAGCAAGCGGAAGAGGAAAAAGAATCTCAGTCCACTGGTGATAGTACACTACAAGRAAACCCAACTGAAACTACTGAAACTACAATAAAAGATGAACCGACCGACCAAACTACACAACCATCAACAGAACAAACAGACAAACGAACAAAAGCCGACACTAGACAAATAAATCAACAAGGAAAAGAACAGCCAAAGGTTCAAATAAAAAATACTGAGCACAAAGCCAAAGAACCCGAAAAAACGACGCGAAACCAAGAMACTTCATTTGGGTCKAATAGGGATCATAAACAACGTTCTTATCAACAAAGGCAGCAGCAGTCTGGCGGGCAAGGACGAGGGAGGGGACCCAGAGGACGACATGATGATGGTAGATCGTATAACCAAAGCTTACCACCAAGATTGCAGAAAAAACAGCAGCAGCAGTATCATCAGCAACACTTCATGTCACTAGAGAAAGAAACGCGAGATAAATCAAGCTCACCTGGCTCAGGATCTGGCAGCGAAACGCGCCTAAGTCAATCACCTAGTGTTGACTCTAGTCCCTCTAGTAAGAGCAGCGATGACATGAAACCGYTACGAAGACAGAAAAACTACCYTCGACAACAACGACAGCAAAACGAAGCTGAACAACCAAAGCAAAGCCAATATGATAACCAACAAGTCCAGAGTACTTATCTACCAGCACAACAGTCTCCATACCATGTAGAACAACAAGTCTATGAGCAACCYGAAGGTACWGCCATCATGCCACAGGAATATAATTATCARCAACCAGCCCCACCTCCTCCCACACAGCAGTATCCTGTCTACCAAATGCAGACTCAGATGGGTCCTCCACAGGCAGTTATGGTCACACAGCCGATAACATCCCCGTCTCAACAGCATATCCAGACCCCTATTACAACAGCTCAGGTATGTTTCAATGTTAATATCTTTCGTAATATCTCTTCAAAAATATGACTTTCATGCAAAAAAGAATTATTGCATTATTCGTTAAATGAATCGGTGCATCAAATAATGAATGAGTTCTGGAAAAATCTTTAGGCCTGTGTTTGTCTTGCCCTCGCTACCAATAATTCTTGTTCTGATTGCCTTTTTACGTCCTTAGATTCGATGGAAGAAAGGGAACCAGTGTCTTGCTCTACGTCGYGATGGTCAGGTGAGCACACAGTCACGTGTAAGGTGGATTATGTAAAACAGAATTGAATTAAAATGGAAACCTAAATGAACTGTTGAGTAAGAACGTTGTCCGATTTTTCTTAGCGCCGCAAAAATGTGTCGCATAGAACCTTTTGATATACACCTTTTGGCGCAGTCTCAGTTTAAAATTGTGCCGTTTAATCTTGTTCGAGCTTTTTGTGCGGGAACAGCCTCCATGACGGTTCTCCAAGCCGTCTTGAAGTGTCACGGTGTCTTTACGTTACCCTGCGTGCAGAGGATGGTTACAAACCCTTCTACGAAGATAAGGAAAAATACCTCTGCCTCAGGACGGTTAGTTCTTCTGATGAAGGGGTTGGAAAAATCCTGTGCACGCAGGATATCTTTACATTGAAGTTAGACGACTGTCGAGCTTGCAATGATAAATAACCGTGCATCTGTGATTGCAAGTTCATCGTTCTTATCGTTATCAATACATGACTAACTTTCAAGATGGCACAGCGTGAATCGCTTAGTCAAAAYCCTGTGAAAATAAGAATGATTCAATTTTTCGTTCCCAGTACTACAGCGCSAAGATAGAACACGTGACTCCCGATGGTCAACAGTGCATGGTGTCGTTCCAGGATTTCCACGGCGGCTGTGAGATGACGTCCATTACGTCGCTGCGGCCGTTTCCTATTATAGCTTGGGTAAGCAATTTTTTTTTTTCAAAATGACTATTTTTCATTTTCTTTTTTCCCTTGTTTTCTTCTTTTTCTTTTGCCTGCTGCTCATCATCTTTCTCTTCTCAATGAATTTACAAAATTTCATTTGTAGACCGAACCTAATGCCCAGTCTCTCCCGGCAACCACMATGACTCCGGTTCCAATCTATGCTCAACCAGCACAAGTAACGATGGTTCCCAGACCCCAAGTCATGGTTCCAGTCCAAGCACAACACCCAGCGTATATAGCTCCTAAAGGACCAATAGCAAGCCCGTCTAACGTAGCGCCTYCTCAGGGCCTCCCTCAGCCTCCTCCCGGCATGCAGTGGCAGCCGGCCCATGTGGGGTACCACGACCTTCGAACACAGGCATACCAACCTGCTATGATTCATTACGACCCTATGACACAAACACCTGTACGGCAGGCTTACTAYCCTATGCCTCCTGCGGGAACAGTGCAGTTTGTACGAGGAGTCAAAGAGTTGCACGGCCAAGGTATGCAAGTGGTCTTAAGCTTAATCTAAACGAGAAATCCAGTAAACACCCGAAAATATGAACCTAATGGATTAAGAACCTCTTGGCAGAAATTTGCCATTTTAATGACCCCTTATAAATAAGAACCTTTTTAGCCAAACATTATCAACCAGGTTCTTATAATATTAACTAGAGCTAAATTACAGGATAAACAAACCACAAGTTGCTCAATATGAAAATTGCGTACAAATACTTTAACTGAATTTACAATTGTTCACTTGTTACAGTAGTTGAAAGTTTTTTTTTTTTTTTTGATATTATATATATAACTAGCTCTACACTTTATGTGTATTGAGCACTCTTTAATGGGATCAGCTACTTCCTCATACAATTATGATATATCATATATAATTTTAGTCCATATCCAGCTTATTTATTATTCTTATAATACATATATGCAAAACAATAACAACTGTATCCCCCTATTAGCAATTAAGAACCTGTTTTGCCAAAATTACCAACAACTACCCCTTAAAACAAGAAACTTTTTTGCCAGACGTTCAAAAAACAAGGTTCGTATTTTCAGGTGTTTACTGTATGTTCACAAAACACCGTCAAACATTGTACCTTTTTTGACTGTATTCGAAGTTGCTGGACGGATCATCAAACATTTGGGTGGAATTGCTGTCGTGTTTGGTTTTTGAAGCCATGCAAAAGTTAACTCGATGATCAAAGTTTTCTCGTTTAGATCGTTTATGTTCCTCTGTGCTATTATGATGCTTAATAATCGCTTTATACAGATCTCTACCCACATCAAGGKGGACCCATGAATGACGGTRCAGACGCAGCCAACAAAATACAACCAACAGCACCAATTTATTACAATGTGAAGACAAAGAAAGCTGGCGCYGGTAGACCTCCCCAAGCTATGTATGTAGCACCGCGGCCACAGCAAGCCTACGAAGGGAACAACTGACTTCACAGTATAATTCTTGTTATTTTTTACGCTGTTACTCTCGTTCCTTCTTCTTTTTGTATTTAACTTTWAATTATACTCAATAACATTCCTCATAAATATTTGAACGTAAAAGTACAATCTCGCAAGCATGAGCTAACACTCGAATGATACCGTTGTTTGGGAACCGTTCTCCGAATCGCACATGTGCCGACTTCAATGCAAATAAGATGAGAAAGAAACAAAAAGATCCRTAGAATTTGAATTGAATTGGGTACATGTGAGGTTCGGTGTTTGAAACGTAGTCTCCTTCGCATCCGTTTTCGTGAGGGGAGGGACAGGAAGCCCGACACGAAAACTGATGCGAAGGAGACTATTTGAAACACAGAATATGGAGTATTGAGGTCGAATGTTTGGTATGTGTGGATGTTAATGTTCGAGTGATAAGGTTGTATTTTTGTCTTGTTAACATTCGACAGTTTTCGTTCTTTGAGTTGTTTCATCTGACAGTTTATCAGAAATGAACAGCATAAAGTTTGTTAAACACTTTTGCACTTATTTATTTTACTTGTTGTACGAAGCTTAACAGCACCTGAACGAGGGCAGTGTCGCAGTAGCCTCGCCATGGTGTCTATATTTGTACATATCGATTCTTTTATTGGTTTTATTGTGAAATATTTCCATACTCCCTAATACTATTATTAGTAGCCTTTTCATTTTAAATCAAATATATCTCTATTAAACAAAAATATAATTATTCATCCAAAAATTTCAGTCTCTTTTATAGGAGAGCAATTTGCTGCTCATATTGCGTGACCGTCACGGTCACATTAGTGAGTTAATGGTAACGCTATACTATATAACTTAGAAAGATATCTTGTTGCTATTGAGTCACTTGTTGTTGTTCTAAAAATAGAATTATAGATTATATATATATACAGTACGAACTAATTTATGAATTATCTCTACGCCATTAGAGACAAAAATATCATGCAATTATTCCAAGTAAACACAATTGYAATAATTCGTTATTTGCAATTTTGTTTAAAATTGAAGAATTGCATATAATAGTTGGTTTATAAGTAGAATTTTTAGCAAACACGTTGGGCACTTTATGAACAATATATATGACAACCGCACATTTTACCCAGTGATTCATGCGATCTCATCGCTGTCAAACGTTTTTTGCGTTTGCAAAGAATTACTGRGTAAAATGTTTTGGTTTCTATGAGTAAAGTCAATAACGTATTATTGTCTAGATTTGAATAATGTTAGTATATATCAATTTACGGTACAAAGTGTAGGATTTATTTTTTCATCATGTCGTTGATATTAGTAGTTGATGTTAGTAGGTGAAAAAAAGGTGAAGATCTAATACTCAGTTAGATAACTTTATTTGTTAAAAAAGATGTTTCAGCAGTTGTGTTCAAATTAAAAGCTTTTAAAACATTTCTGTCCATTTTTTAACATTTCGGTAGTATGAAGCAAATATTATCTGTCCAGGCCGACAGCCGACTAGTAGAATGCGAAGCGTCTTGTAATGTAGCGTCTTGCTTGCCACACAAGCTGATTTACTAGTTTGTTGACCGCTAGTTTGTTGCTTAGACTTGACGCGCGTTTCCCAATTTAGACTGCGTATTAAGCGTATTTTTTCCTAATACCTCCACTTGCGACTAAATCAGCAGTTTTTCTGATCATAAACGACTTTTTAAAGCGGCGGAAAGAAACTTTGCCTGGGTGGCCATGGTAATGGCCGTAGCGCTGTTAAAGACCTTTCAGTCAATAGTGTTGATATCGATGAATCAGCATTTTTGCATCGTAAGTATTTTATATTACTAATAGATSCTTATAAATATCAACTGGCGTACGGCTCTTATCATTAGACTACTGATGATTATTCATCAGCGTTACTTAACCATAAAATAGCTGGTACTAGACATCGAGGTAGTTCTTAGTAGTTGACGGTATTATGAATGTTTCCAATGTTTTTTTTATGTTTTCGAGCTTACTGTCTCTCCTGTTTTGGCCCTGTTTCTCGATTTCAAACCAGGAAGATTTTGAGCACCAACTGTATTCGTTGGCACAAGGTGCAATTGCTTTCTTAGAGCCAAACGAAATTTCTCATTTCTGAACGCAAACAGACTAGGGTTTAAACAGGTGTTACATGCAAACGAATAGTACATAAATGTTTTCCAGAATATGTGYTTGTCTGTAAGTGGAAATAGTAAGCCTAGAGGGGTCAAGTTTACGGCAAATAAAGTAAACATAGGCGTGAAGAAGAACGCCATATTGCTCAGAACTACCAAAGAGATTTTACGAGCAACGTTGCCTTCGCGTTTTATCCCTACCAACTGGCTGGACTTCCTTATTGAAAAATACATGTGAATGTATAAAGGGATTAAACAGATGTAGAGAAGCATTACTATTGAACCGGGTATTGTCATGTACTCGACGTARCCTGACCCTGTAGGGTTTGTTACTGGTACACAGTTCSAATCCGGAACGTAGTACTTTGATAAAACTGTRTAAGGCAAAATGGCAAACAAGAATGATACAATRTAAACWATAATARCTGCAAGTCTTGCTGTGTCTGGAAATATGCGAATATCTGGGTTGATGCAGTAARCAACAGCCAAGTACCGTTCCACAGATACAATGAACGATGTGAATGCGCTKATTCCTTGAGACATGATGAAAACAAACCCAACAAAATGACAAAACTTTGTCGTTAATAACTCCATCATCTCTTTATAACTGAGAACAGCTCTAGTAACTGTGATGACGAGGATRTATTGTGCCATGGTAAGATCTCCGATTGCAACACTTGCAATCAAGCAACATGCAACGTTTTCTCTTAGGGCTTTTGACCTCAAGGTAACTATGACAACTGTCATGTTCATTGCCATGGCAACGGTTGCCAATACARCAAGAAACGAGGAACTTYTGCTCATGTCAGACCAACATCGGTTCAAAGGTGTGAWGTAGTAACCTCGAAAATACGCCAATTTAAGGTAGCCACGGAAGCAACGCTCGTCTTGGCCCACACAGCCTAGATTGTAACCTAAGGTTTCAAAGTTACGATAGTACTTGTCCTTAAAAGAAATGACATTCCCATAGCAACCGTCGTACCTCATGATTGGAGGTCTTAGCGCATGCGTCATCTCTTTGGATATACGATTAACCCAAGGTTTTATGCGTTGGCTGATATTAGTAAAAGGCTGCTTTGTGAGAAAACATCGCAGGCACAYACCATCCAGCGGTGTTCCTCGAATGATTTGAAGCATGCTCTTGTTTGTCACATGACTAGCATTCAACCAAACAGTATTCCGTGCGACATCTAAAATGGTCAAGCGCGGTAAAAGACTGTTGAGATTGATATCTTGTAGATATAGTAATGGGTTGCCGCTCAGATTCCTGTGAAACAAAATAAAAGAGTAAATTTTAACTGAAACTAAACTTCGAMGACGACAATAGTGGAGCGTTGCTTTTCGGAAAGTTTTTTGGCGGATCATCGGTGAGCGCATCCGATTAGATGATGCATATCCTTTCAATCAGCCATTTATGAAAAATAAATAAATCAGACTTATAATTTATCAATTTATAATGAAGAAAACTAGTACTTTTTGGGGTTGTAATTTGTGGCCTATTGCAGTCAGTGTGGGTTGTGTCGGCTCATGATTATTCGCCAACTACAGTTTTGACTTTATCTCTTCATTGTTTTCTTAGGAGCCGGATTCTCGTGAATCCCAAAGACAGCCTGACACCGTAAAAAACTCCGACTCTTTTTCAATCACTTCAATTAGTATGAAATATCCGTTTTATATCTTCTATTTGCAACACAGCAAAATACATTTCAGTATGAAATTTCCCTTTTCTCTTTCCACTGCTCAAATATACTTGTCAAATTTCTTTGTCTTGAAATTTCAATAGGCCGACCGCATTACAAACTTTAATTTAAAATCTCCGCGCCTAATCTRTTGTTGGACTGAGTCTACTAAAAGCGCTCTTTGAAAGGGTAAACCCTTGATGCCTAGTGCAAAAAAGAATGAAGGTGTATCGAATAAAGAACTTTTGTTACATTTGTACCAATGTCATAAAAACCAGATACTTGATTACTTACATTATTGYAAGGTTGTTGAATTTTACTAAGCTTTCAGGTTCGAGTCGTCTTAAGTCATTATTGGATAAATCTCTGAAATAAGAATAGAATATTACAAGACCTTGATTAGATTTCGAATATCAACGCACTTTTATTTCGTTTATTGCACACGTTTTGTGCACATTATGTGCCATTATTCGTTGATATTACATATTCTTGTCTTTCAAAAGTGAGAAAGTGAAGACGATTTGAGCTCAAAGTATTGCAAGTTTCTTTGAAGRCAAACCTAGATATACATGTATAGGAATATATAAATTTCGTCTAATACGGATTRATAAGTCATTCAAAACTCCTACTCACAAATGCACTACGTCGCTTGGTTGGCGCACAAACTTTATCAGTTCCAAGGAGCTAGAGACCCGACATTTTGCTGACTCGAGACCAAGAAATATGCAGCCATGATCTTCGCTTCCGTTGTTCTGACCCGCTGCGCTCTGGATCAGAAAACTAGTAAAAACTAGAAAAAACGTTAACATAACCTTTCTACTTAAAGTGTCAATGATTTCCAGCAAAKTTTCTATTATTGTTTCATTAAATACGTCCTGAGCTCAAATTTTCAAAAACAGCGAGAAAATAAGCTTACAGTAAGTAAGCAATGTACTAGATCGAGCAAGAAGCTGAAAGCTTGGACAGGTGTCCCAAGTAATATGAGTAAGAGCATGCATTCAGTAGTGCTCCGTTAGTTTAATTAGTTTTTACTCAGTCAAATCGCTTTTTGACAATAGCTGCCATAATCTCTCTACTTCTTGAACAAACAATGTTTGTAAAACCAATCGGTACAATTTCAGTATAATCATTACGTATGGTTGGTAAATTTTGTACTTGTATCTAGAGTGGTTCTCATTAACCCGCGAAACAAAGTGTAATAGTCAAAGTGTAATAAAGTGTAATAGCCAAGAAATATAATAGAAAACAAAAGAGACAAAGTGTAATAAAGTGTAATACGCTAAAGTGTATTTCACGGGTTAATGAGAACCACTCTAATCTAAACCACTCTTGTCTGCTATTAGAAATTATTTTTGTCATATAATGGATTAATGCCTGCTTTGCTTCGTTCGTTATACAGTGAATGCACTTAATCCATGAAAATATAAAAAATACTACAAATTTGTACTAATTCTGCAACTGAAGCTGAACATCCTTTGGTGAAAAAAAGAAATAGTACAAAGAGATTATAGAGTCGTTTTCATTCATCTGTGTGAAACAATTACTACTAGTCAGTGTTTAATAGTAACTATTAGGGTGTAGTAAGCTATCAAAAGACAAAATCAAAACCGTGTTTGCCTAATTAGACTAGTTTGTCGGGGGTAATAGCATAGAATAGTACAATAGTCCATTTGTATTATGGCGTAACTTTACTACAACTACCAGAGAGCCTTGCGCATTTTCATTGTTATTCAGATTTTAAATTCCCTTGGAATTTGCATTATGGCGTAACTTTACTACAACTACCAGAGAGCCTTGCGCATTTTCATTGTTATTCAGATTTTTAATCCCCTTGGAGATTAATAAAACAATTGACACAAATTGCATTACAAAAGAAAGTTGGCAAAGCATTCTGGTAGAGTGAAGGCATTGATCCTGTGAAATAAAAGTTAATAATTAAACTGTAATAGTCAAATAGACACAAAAGAAAACAATGGAATTATCGAGTAATAACATGTAATAGTCAAATATGTATTTCACGGGTTCATTGACTTCACTCTAGTTGTAGTAAACGACGCCATATTACTATTAAACACTGACAAGTAGTAATTGTTTCACAGACGGATGAAAATGAATCTACACGTTAGTACACTCTAGTTGCAATGTTTTAGAGTGCACGTCACATAAGCATGAAACAATTCTTAACTAATTAGCGCCTAATAAGATTTAGTTATCAACTAACTAAGAATTCACTGGGGCATGAACACAATGGCAGAAAGGAAACTTGTCTTTGTTTATGCCTCACTAAACTCTTAGTTAGTTGATAACTAAATCGTATTAGGCGCTAATTAGTTAAGAATTGTTTCATGCTTATGTGACGTGCACTCTATTTTGTGTCTGTTTGACTATTACACTTTCATAGTCTTTTCCAGGGCGCCATCTTGATAGGAAGCCGCGCCTTGGCATGGAAGCTAGACGACTGGTGAGCCTGCAGTATCCATGCACACTTGACCTTATTCAATCTCTAATAACTCTAATGGAAGTCATGTCGTGAAACTGTACTTGGAAGCTTTAAAATATTACACTTTCTGTGCATGTCACAAATGCGCAAATTACCGTTTAACGGTGACTTGTATGAGCCACAATCAGTGGTTAATCAATGTAGATTAGCATGAAATCGTCCTCTTGGAGGATTTATACATAGCCATGGCATAAATTATGGCTTAAATTCACGCTTATGACAATGATTGTGTGAAAAATGGATCAAATTTTTTTATAATAGTTTAATCTTAGCAATTTTWAAATTCATAATCTTGGATTTACTGAAGATCGATGCTGGAATCGCCGGATGCTGTACACGGAGCGAAGGTGGCTTAGGCTGATTGCGAACCACGCGGCGTTCAAGATCTAATCACTCAGGCAAGTTATTTTACACCTTTTTCTTCGGAAGACAGCAGCTGTGTTTCCTGTTTGACCTTTTTTTGTTTTTTCCTTTGTTTAATCACTTTTCGATGTTGTGGTTTCTTCTAATAATATTTTGACTTTTCAAAGATAACCCCACCTTGAGAACTAAAATAAATGCAATAATACAAAACGAAAATGTACTTCCCTGGAGCGCGCCCAGCGAGATAGAAAAACGCTGTAATCATGGAACGTGTTTTAAAGTTATTGCATTCAAAATGGTGTGTCGTTACGCGAAGTTTGATGCGGTGCATTGTGGTATAGGAAGCAYKACAYAGYAATGGRATCTAAAGCATTATTTCCGTAATTCTATTAATCAAATGTACATCTTGAAGTCAAATGAACACAACAAATGATTTTCTAGTCATCTGAAAAGAAAAAGACTTTGCAGTTTGAACTCGTTGACGGGTAAAGAACAATAKAAATCAATGCTTGAACTACGCCATAACAGGTTCAGACCGACTATTCTTACGAAAAATCGTAGTTATTCGTAGTTTTATGGATATGTTTTAAGGACTATATGTAAATATAGTTACTCTAAGATTACTAGAGTTACCAATCTAACAATCAAGCCATGCACTCGCTTGTTCGTTAGCGCGTAAACTTCTTTATCACTGCATTCCTGAGTTAGTACAGGTGGTTCGCTTATCGTGGCGAACGCTTGACATTCCTATCGCTCATTCGACCATGTAGTCACACTAAACCACAAATGATGCCGTCCAAATAGGTAATTCCTAGGAATTTACTATTGACATAATCAGTTTCAAATTAAAGCTATTTTTAAAGCTGGATTATTGCAAAACGGTAGAATAAAAGATTTCGCTGTAAAAAGTTCAAAGTATTTTTCTACTCGTAAGCACTTTACGTAATACTGCATCATCATGAGATTTTTTTGATTTATGGTTTCTTCCATCAAAAGCTGTCAGGTGACTTCAACTGTTTTTTTCCGGGTAACTTTCATTACTGAACGAATAATTAACAACTCTTTACTGACCTTTTTTCTTTAGTGATAAGATGAAATGTTTTTTTGATATCAGATGCTAAAGTACCTATTTATCCTTACGCATGACATGTTATGTTAGTTTGGAAGTATTTAGGGGGGGACAATGGGTTGTGTTTGTGGATTATCGAGTCAGCATTCTTTATGGTTCTATGACGTGGGAAGTCGGTCATTAGGAAGTGTCATGAAATAAGACCAACGTAGTTTATCTTAGCTTATTTACATAACTATTTCCACGTTATTGAATGTACTCGTCAGTTTCTTTATGTAGAATACTATCGAAACAAAGACCGGTAACGTAATCCAGCGATACTTTGAGTAGTCTTGGCAACACTTCTTTCATGGTCTGGTACTCTCAACATCAATAAATGAACCTGTGACTTTACTACCAGCACCATTAGTCACAAGACTCACACTGATCAACTACAAATATCAAAGATATTTTTTTTGTAAAAAGGATTATTGTCACAACTTTTAATTCCTGAAAATCGAAACTTTTTTTATCATATTTGTATAAGAGTAGTTTCCCATGGATATGACTGAACGGGTTGATGTTATGAGCTGTGATCACACCAATCTAAATGGTTATCATCAGGACGAGAAGTCTCCTGCCCTTCCCAGACGTTTAACGGATCTCATGTTTGGTTTTTGTGCTTCGCAGGCCATGTTTGCTGCTTGTGAGGTCGGGATTTTTGATGCTCTTCACGATGCTGGTCGTCCACTTTCCGCTGCAGCTCTTTCCCAGAAACTTTCCATCAACAACGATGCCACGTGCAGAATTCTCGATGCTCTGAGTTGCATGGAGCTCCTCAATAAACACGAGGAAGGAACATATAGTAATACGAGCATTGCTACAAAACACCTTACAACGACAAGTCCGCACTCAATCAACTGTTCCATGGCATTTGGTAACAATGTTCTTTATCGTCTGTTTGGGAACCTAACTTGGGCGGTTCGGGAAGGAACTAATCAATGGAATAGATCGTTTAACAAAAGTTCTGCTCGCGATTTCTTTAAGGAGATCTTCGATAACGAGAAAAGTTGTATCCGATTCATGGAAGGGATGAGAGGGACTTGTAGGCCGGCGGCCAAGGCAGTCGTGACAGCGTTCAATTTGTCAGGCTATCAACACATGTGTGATCTCGGAGGTAAATATTGCACAATATTACATCGTTTTACGATCAATGAAAAAATGCGTTTTTAAATGAGAAATTGATTGGTTATTCCAATCGTGTTTATGAAACAATTGTCGGCGAATCCCTTTATGATTTAAAAATCAGATTATTATTATTGAAATTTCTTAATATACTTTATACTTCATTGTTYCAATGTTAACCACTTTTATTACATGGCTTACATCAATAAGAAAAGTCTGATTACATCATACTATTGCTAAAAATTGGAATGTTGGACATGTCTTTGTAATGATACGACTAAAACGATACATTTATTATAATAATGCTATGCAAAAGAAAAAATATTTTTAACAAGAATTCCAATAACCGCAACTATTTAAGAAATTCACATGAATCATTGCTATATTCACGAAAACTTTGACGAAACTATCCGTGCTAACAGGTTGCATAACGGTATTCTTTTAAAGTCACAAGACACGATTCTACAGGTTGTACTAGRTTACACATTGCATTGCGCAACACAAAAGTAAACATAATATCGAGAATACACGCTTTATAGAGTTATATACTACGCGTGGGTTGCGTAGGCCAAACATCGTGCGAATTTTTTCAGGCGGACGTATATACAAACGACAYGTTAGAATGTCTGGAATGGTGGAGCACAAAAGAGTGATCAATGTAATAAATGTAGTCTTAACTTTTATTCAATTTCTCCACATGTATTTCACAATGAGGCATTTTAGACTGGTGGATCAGTCTAAAAATAGTGTAGTAACCGGCTGGGTTATGATTATTCTTCAAGAGAAAAACTCTTGCGGCGTCACACAGAGTATTGCAAATCTTTCTCTCGCTAACTGCTTTATGCTCACCCCAATCTTCCCTAGCACCCCGCGCACTCAACAATGCCCTGATTATCCGAGAAAAACTCCAATTTCCTTCGATACGTAATTTTATTATTTCAATACCAGGATGCACTGGAGACATAGCCTACGCAGCCTGCACCGCCTACCCCGACATGAAAATCACTGTCCT